TCCTTCTCCTCCCAGTGCAACAGAAGCCGAGCCAGCTGCCGCCGCAGCCCCAGCCAGAGGGCACTATGCTTCTGGGAGTGTTACAGTGAATGATAGAAGTCATAAAAAGTTTTAATGATATGACAACGGCTCCTGAAAGTGCACCTTAACAAAGCAAGAATTTGAATGAAGCTCGCTAAAGATGCCATTATAAAGAATTTACAAGGTATTAAACATGAGTGGCAAGTAAATGGCTTGGATGATATTAAGGACCGTTCGACACTTGGAGAGAAATTGGGAGGCAATGTAGTAGTTTCACTTGAAGGAAAACCATTATAAAATGACAGTCAAGTGCCATCTGGATCTTAAGGAGCTTGCATTTCTCCAGCTCAGTCCATTGGAATAGTATTAGGTTTTGTTTTTTTGTTTTTTTCCCCCCTTTCCACTGGGCCCTTCCAACACAATGAATGAAGGAAATATCATTTATTTAAGCAGCCTATCAGTGATTGCCATTAGACTGTTTAATACTGTCACTTTTATGTAGAACCCAAGGAATGCCTTCCTGTCATATTTTAGCCAAAACAACTGGTTATATGCCTCCCTTGCAGCAAGCACTACAATGTATGTGATCGTCAATGTGAATAGCTTAGAATACTGCAAAGGATAAGCTAATTGAATGCCTTGAAAGTATTATCCACTGGTCAGTTGGTCAACTTTTTTCAGTATTATTTATAGTCGCACTTGATTGCAGTTCTGTGAGGCTTGAGCATTCATACACCTCACCTGCCTTGGCAAGCCTATTTTTGTGACATGGCAGCACGGATATAACACTATGCATTAAAAGCACTTTTTGTAACAAGTTTAATATCCTAAAAGGAATGCCAATTAAGTTTTGTTAACTGTGTCATCAACTTATCCTAGTACCTCAGTGTTCATTCCTGTTACCTGCATACCTTCTTAAAAGAAAGAGCTGTTATTAATGCCTTTTTGTTTTCCATTGAGTGTACACTACTGAATAAGTGTAGGACTTTTATGTTTACCATGTGAGTCCTGCAACACTAAAGATATTTTGAATATCAGTCATGATGGCAATTTCTGTATAAAAGAGCCTTAAATGGAACATTGTTTTGAGATCAAACTCCCCACCCTTACAAACATGGCCACGTTGCAATAAAAATTGTGGCATATTAAAAAAAAAACAAAAACAAAAAACAAAAACAAACAAACAAAAAAAACTACAAACTGATATCCCTCATGAACACCAAAGCAAAATTCTCAATAAAATACCAGCAAATCAAATTCAGTGGCATATTAAAAGGTTTTTATACACCATGACCAAGTGGAATTTATTCCTGGAACACAAGAAATACAAAAATGGTTTAACATCCAAAAAAAAAAAAAAATCAATCAATATATCACATTAACAGAATGAATGGGCCGAGCATGGTGGCTCACGCCTGTAATCCCAACACTCTGAGAAGCCGAGGTGGGTAGATCACAAGGTCAGGAGTTCGAGACCAGCCTGGCCAACACAGTGAAACCCCATCTCTACTAAAAATACAAAATTAGCCAGGTGTGGTGGCACACGCCTGTAATCCCAGCTAGGAGGCTGAAGCAGGAGAGTCACTTGAACCCAGGAGGTGGAGGTTGCAGTGAGTGGAGGTCATGCCATTGCACTCCAGTCTGGGCAAAAAGAGCAAAACCCAAACTTAAAAAAAAAAAACAAAAAAAAAAAACCAGAATGAATGAAAAGGAAACACATGATGTTTTGGCCAGGCGTGGTGGCTCACACCTGTAATTCCAGCACTTTGGGAGGCTGAGGTTGGCAGATCATGAGGTCAAGAGATCAAGACCATCCTGGCCAACATGGTGAAACTCCATCTCTACTAAAAACACAAAAATTGGCTGGGCGTAGTGGCGCGTGCCTGTAGACCCAGCTACTCAGGAGGCTGACGCAGGAGAATTGCTTGAACCTGGGAGGCAGAGGTTGCAGTGAGCTGAGATCACACCACTGCACTGCAGCCTGGTGACAGGGTGAGACTGTCTCACAAAAAAAAAAAAAGTAAGAAAAAGAAACACATGATCATCTCAATAGGTGCAGCAAAACCATTTGACAAAATTTAACACCATTTTATGATCTAAAAAGCACTGAATGAACTACAAATAAAGGAAACAACTTCAATATAATAAAGACCACATATGAAAAATCCATGGTGAACATCATACTCAACAGTGAAAAAACTAAAAGCTCTCCTCTAAGATCAGGAAGAAGACAAAGATGCCCTCTTTCACCACTTTATTCAAAGTAGTACTGAAAGGTCTAGCCAGAGCAATTAGGCAAGAAAAAGAAAGAAAACAGATGTAGATTGGAGAAGTAAAATTATCTGTTTGCAGATGACATGGTCTCATATGTAGAAAACCCTAAAGATTTCACATCCAAAAACCTGCAAAAATAAATGAACAAATTCAACAAAGTAACAGTACACTTCCCCCTATTTTTAAAGAAATAACCATCTGTACATTTTTCTTCAAAATTTAACCAATTTCTAGGCATAGAGCTAGATTTAGGTTTATATTCCTTTATCTTCCACAAGGCCTAACTCATTGGTAGGTATATAGTGAGAAACCAATAAATATTTGCTGATTGAACAGCACTTTTTCTTTTTTTTTTTTGAGATAGGGTCTCACTCTGTCACCAGCCTGGAGTGCAGTGGCACAATCACAGCTCACCGTTAACCCTAACTCCTGGGCTCAAGCTATCCTCCCACTTCAGCCTCCTAAGTAGCTAGGACTACAGGTTCACACCACCTAGCCTAACGTTTTTCTTTTTTGCAGAGACAGGGTCTCACTATATTGTCCAGGCTGGTTTCAAACTCCCGGCCTCAAACTGATCCTCCCTCCTCAGCCTCCCAAAGTACTGAGATTACAGGTGTCAGCCACCACGCCTAGATGGGTGGTTTTTAATGCTCCAATAATTCAACTATATTTCTCTTTTATTTTCTAAGATCTTCAAATAACATAATAAATCCAAATAGCTATCTACTTGTTTTTTTTTTTTTTTTTTGAGACAAAGAGTCTTGCTCTGCCCCCCAGGTTGGAGTGCAGTGGCGTGATCTCGGCTCACTGCAAGCTCCGCTGCCTGGGTTCACACCATTCTCCTACCTCAGCCTCCCAAGTAGCTGGGACTACACATGCCCAGCTAATTTTTTTGTATTTTCAGTAGAGACGGGGTTTCACCATACTAGCCAGAATGGTCTCGATCTCCTGACCTTGTGATCTGCCCACCTCGGCCTCCCAAAGTGCTGGGATTACAGGCATGAGCCACGACACCCAGCCAGCTATCTACTTTTATTATCTGGCTATCAAAATGAAGCCAAACAGCCTCGATTTATGGTATATTTTCCCTTTAAAAATGTTATCATCAGCCAGAGCAACATGGTGAAACCCCTTCTCTACAAAAAAGTTAGCCAGAAGTGGCAGTACACACCTATAGTCCCAGCTACTTGAAAGGCTGAGGCAGAAGAATCAGCTGAGTCCAGGAAGTTGAGGCTAGAGTGTGCCATGCTCGAGCCACTGCACTCCAGTCTAGGCAACAGAGTGAGACCCCAACTCAAAAAAAAAAAAAAAGACAAGTGCAGTGATTCACACTTGCAATCCCAGCACTTTGGGAGGCCATGAGGTCATGGGGGGTGGACTGCTTGAGCCCAGGAGTTCAAGGTGGGCAACATGGCAAAACCCTGTCTCTACTAAAAATTCAAAACAAAAAAAATTTAACCAATGCCTAATCCAATACACTAGTATGCTCCAATGTATATTTTTTTATTTGCCCCTTAATGAAATTGTATTTTGTTTTTTTGTTTTGTTTTGTTTTTCGAGACAGAGTCCCGCTGTTGGCCAGGCTGGGGTGCAGTGGCACAATCTCGGCTCACTGCAGCCTCCACCTCTTGGTTTCAAGCCATTCTCCTGCCTCAGCCTCCCAAGTAGCTGGGACTACAGGCGCGTGCTACCATGCCTGTCTAATTTTTTGTGTTTTTAGTAGAGATGGGGTTTCACCATGTTAGCCAGGATGGTCTCGATCTCCTGACCTGGTGATCCGCCCGCCTCGGCCTCCCAAAGTGCTGGGATTACAGCTGTGAGCCACCGCACCTGGGCTATTTTTATTTTTTTTAAGAGACAACATCTTACTCTGTCACCCAGGTTGAAGTACAGTGGCACAATCATAGCTCATTAGACCCCTGAAGTAGGATCAAGTAATCCCTCCACCTCAGACTCCCTAGCTACTGGCACTAAAGGTGTGCACCACCATGCCTGGCTAATTTATCTTTTTGTAGAAACAGGGTCTTGCTATGTCACGCCGGTCTTGAACTCCTGGCCTCAAGTGATTGGCCTCCCACCTCGGCCTCCCAAAGTGCTGGCAGCCACAGTGCCCAGTTTAATATGCCATCTTAAAACAAAATGAGGGTTGACTAAACTTTTAAATAGGCATTCCCTTAATTCAGTGGAATCTTGTCTATGCTAAAAGATGTAAGAATACTTAACTAGATGAAAGAGGTAAAATGCTTAGGTTATTGGAGTTGTAAAAGGAACTATTTTTTTTGTTTTATTTTGTGAAAGAGCACGCTTTATTGGGAAGCAGACTGCTGCACACTGACCAACAAAGGCCACCCAATGGGCACTTACACATTGTACTCCAAAAGACACAGGGTGAAAAAAAACTATTTTTATTACCTGTTGAACAGCTAGTGTACTGTCCATTTCATCAAAGGATTCATCAGGCCAATTATAGAAATCCTACAAAAATAAATTCACAGTTAAAGCACATACAAAATACTATTATGATTAACATCAATTCTTAATAAAGATTCAAAGCTCACACTGGAGGGGAAGAAAAAACTTTTGCAATGTAATTACCAGTGAAATAAGGAAATAAATTTTATTCAATTTTTCTTTTTCAGGGACAGTGTCTCACTCTGTAGCCCATGCTGCTGTGCAGTGGCACAATCATAGCTCACTACAGCCTCAAACTCCTGGGTGTAAGCAATCATCCCACCTCAACCTCTCACCTTAGCCGCCCTATTCTTAGGATTATAGTCCTGACCCACTGTGCCTGGCTGTTTGGTTTTTAAATGAATATCAAGATTTTATTTAAATGAACTACAAATTATGTTTTTTCCAATCACAAATTCCTCAAATATAGCTCCCATAAACCTTTAATGTATTACTTAATTGGGGAGATAAGTCTGTCTATCACTTTTTTGTTTATGATGGTTAAATATCTCTCAGAAAGTTACAATGAAAAAAGAAATCTCCAGACACCAAAAAGTAAATCAGATTTTTACCAAAAGAGAACAGCTAGCATTAGTAACTAATTTATTGCTCCATAAGTATTATTATTATGAGGATGAGATGGGAGTCTCGCTCTGTCACCAGGCTGGAGTGCAGTCGTGCAATCTCAGCTCACTGCAACCTCTGCCTCCCGGGTTCAAGCGATTCTCCTGCCTCAGCCTCCCAAGTAGCTGGGACTACAGGTGCGCACCACCACGTCCAGCTAATTTTTGTATTTTTTGTAGAGACAGGGTTTCACTATGTTGGCCAGGATGGTCTTGATCTCTTGACCTTGCGATCCACCCACCTCGGCCTCCCAAAGTGCTGGGATTACAGGCCTGAGCCACCATGCCCGATGCATAAGTATTATTTTAAGAAGAAATTATAAATTATTCTTCTCACTCCAAATAGAGTTTTAAATTTCTAAATCAAAATATGGGCACCATTAAAAAGTAATCATGAGGCCGGACATGGTGGCTTACACCACTAATTCTAGCACTTTGGGAGGCTGAGGCGGAAGGATCACTTGAGGCCAGGAGTTCGAGACCAGGCTGGCCAACATGATGAAACCCCATCTCTACTAAAAATACAAAAAATAGCCGGGCATGGGGGTGTGCACCTGTAATCCCAACTACTCAGGAGGCTGAGGCAGGAGAACTGCTTGAACCAGGGAGGCGGAAGTTGTGGTCAATCAAGATCACACCACTGCACTCCAGCCTGGGTGACAGAGTGAGACTCCATCTCAAAAAAAAAAAAAAGGTAATCACCCATGGGTACAAAAAAATAGAAAGAATGAATAAGCCCTAGTACTTGCTAGCACAACAGGGTGACTATAGTAAAAAACAATTTAATTGCACATTTAAAAAAAGCTAAAACAACCTAATTTTTTGCAACATAAAGGACAAATGCTTATGGTGATGGATACTCCATTTACCCCCCCCCATGTGATTTTTTTTTTTTTTTGGAGACTGTCGCCCAGGCTGGAGTGCAGTGGCCAGATCTCAGCTCACTGCAAGCTCCGCCTCCCGGGTTTAGCCATTCTCCTGCCTCAGCCTCCCAAGTAGCTGGGACTACAGGTGCGCACCACCACGTCCAGCTAATTTTTGTATTTTTAGTAAACACAGGGTTTCACCATGTTGGCCAGGCTGGTCTCGAACTCCTGACCTCAGGTGATCCGCCCGCCTCGGCCTCCCAAAGTGCTGGGATTACAGGCTTGAGCCACCGCAACCGGCCTGATGTGATTATTATACATTGCATTCTTGTATCAAAATAGCTCATGTAACCTATAAATATATACACCCACAAAAATTTTAAAAAGAGAAGTAAACATCCAAATAAACCAGCCTTCTATTAATGGGAATATTTTTATTTCTTCTTCTTTTTTTTTTTAAGAGACGAGGTCTCGCTTTGTTGGCCAGGTTAGTCTCAAACTCCTGATCACAATCAATCCTCTAGCTTCAGCCTCCCAAAGTGCTGGGATTATAAGCATGAGCCACCATGCCCGGCCTAAGGGGGATATTTTTATAGAGCATCTTGCCCTGGTTCTGGAACTATCTGTAGATAATACAGTTAACAGACATTCCCCTAAGTGATTAAGAACCTTTCCATTTGACTGATTTTTCAGCAAACTTTACCTATGTAACCTCAGTAGGTAGCACAATGCCTGACACATAGTTGGAGCTCAAATGTCTCTGAGGTAAAACTTGGTGGGGAGGGGGTAAGAGTAAACCAATAATCTATAAACCTGTATATAAACCTGTAAAAGCAATAAACAAAGATTAAGTCTCCAAAACCTTGAGCAAAAAAATCAAATTGGAAGAAAACACAGTGTATATAAAATGAATAAAAGTTTAGGCCAGGTGTGGTGGCTCACGCCTGTAATCTCAGCACTTTGGGAGGCTGAGGTGGGCAGATCATGAGGTCAGCAGATCAAGACCATCCTGGCTAACATGGTGAAACCCCGTCTCTACGAAAAAATACAAAAAATTAGCCAGGCGTGGTGGTGGGCCCGAACCCGGGAAGTGGAGCTTGTAGTGAGCCGAGAGTGCAGCACTGCACTCCAGCCTGGGAGACAGAGCAAGACTCCATCTCAAAGAAAAAGGTTTAAGTGCAAGGCATACTTATTGATATAATGCGTATACAGTAGAAGTATACAGAAAAGGAATGATAGGGTAGAAGACAGAGAATGTCTTCCATAAGGATTCAACTATAATAGCAACATCCTTGTTCAGACAGCAGATAATGAGGATACCTTTCTAAGTGTCTTAAACATTTCATCTTTTTTTAAATAGCTGGCCTATCTGTATGAAAATGAACTAATTTTATTAAAGGAAGATATCAGGAAATAAAACAATCTTCTGGAAATGGTTCCAGGATTCCTTTCCTTAGACATTGTCTAAATACTAAAGAGCAGTTTTAAAATTTTTCCTATATGATCTACACTAAATTTCTTTTTTTTTTTTTTTTTTTTTTTTGAGATGGAGTCTCGCTGTCCTTCTGGCTGGAGTGTAGTGGCACGATCTAGGCTCACTGCAAGCTCCGCCTCCCGGGATCAAGCCATTCTCCTGCCTCAGCCTCCTGAGTAGCTGGGACTACAGGCGCCCGCTACCACGCCTGGCTAGTTTTTTTTTGTATTTTTAGTAGAGACGGGTTTTCACCGTGTTAGCCAGGATGGTCTTGATCTCCTGACCTTGTGATCCGCAAGCCTTGGCCTCCCAAAGTGCTGGGATTACAGGCATGAGCCACCGCACCCGGCCGATCTACACTAAATTTCTACCAATACTCTATTCTTTCCTTTTCAAAAAAAACTAAGAAAGTTTACAGAATATTGTTTTTAAAATATTAGAAAACACATGTAGTTATACAGTTGGCCCTCCATATCTGCAGGCTTCATCTGCAGATTCAATCAACCAGGAATTGAAAATGTTTCAGGGGATTAAAAAAATCCACAAAATGTTATATTGTTGCTGACATGTACTATGTACCTAGTTAGATCTAATATAGTTGCGTATGTACTAAACATGTACCGGCTATTTTTTTTTTGGTCATTATTCCCTAAATAATACAGTGTTAACAACTATTTACAGAACACTTGCATTGTATTAGGTATTATTAAATAATCTAGAGTTGATTTAAACTATGTAACAGAATGTGCATAGGTTATATGCAAACACTGCCATTTTACATAGGAAACTTAAGCATCCTCAGATTTTGGTATGGGGTGGGCGTAGAGTTATCCTGGAGCCAATCCCCAGAGGACACCAAGGATGACTATATACAGAAAAGATGTTGCGAATGAAATGTTCTGCCTTATCATAACTGTGACATATTTTAGATGCCTATGAGAGACACCAAAAATTCAGCTTAATAAAGATTCTCATCTAATCCAATCAACAAACATTTTTTGAAAACCAACTATGAAGCCTGGCGTGGTGGCTTGTGCCTCTAATCCCAGCACTTTGGGAGGCTGAGGCAGGCAGATCACTTGAGGTCAGGAGTTCGAGACCAACCTGGCTAACACGCTGAAACCCCCCGTCTCTACTAAAAATACAAAAAAAATTAGCCGGACGTGGTGGAGGGCCCCTGTAGTCCCAGCTACTCGGGAGGCTGAGGCAGGAGAATGGCGTGCATCCGGGAGGCGGAGCTTGCAGTGAGCCAGATTGCGCCACTGCACTCCAGCCTGGGGGACAGAGCGGGACTCTTGACCCAACAACAACAACAACAACAACAACAACAACAAAAATTAGCCGGGTGCCTGTAATCCCAGCTACTCGGGAGGCTGAGGCAGGAGAATCACTTGAACCTGGGAGGCGGGGGTTGCAACGAGCTGAGATCGCGCCACTGCACTCCAGCCTCGGCGACAGAACGAGACTCCTCTCAAACAAGAGACTCCTCTCAAACAAAGAAACAAACAAACAAAAACCCACCAGGTCTCAAACAAAGAAACAAACAAACAAAAACCCGCCAGGTGCAATGGCTCACGCCCATAATCCCACCACTTTGGGAGGCCCAAGTGGGTGGATCACCTGAAGTCAGGAGTTCGAGACCAGCCTGGCTAACATAGTGAAACCCCGTTTTTGCAAAAAATTAGCCGGGCGTAGTGGCACGCGCCTGTAATCCCAGCTACTTGGGAGGCTGAGGCAGAAGAATCGCTTGAACTCGGGAGGCGGAGGTTGCAGTGCGCCAAGACTGCACCACTGCACTTCAGCTTGGGGGCAACAAGAGCAAAACTCTGTCTCAAAAAGAAAAGAAAAAAGAAAAAAGAAAACCAACCATGTGCCTATATTCCAGTCTAACCAACTTTTTTTTTAATGTAGGAAAATACTCCACCTACTCTTCTATAGGGTTTGTTTGTTTCTTTGAGACCGGGTTTTTTGCTCGTTACCCAGGCTGGAGTGCAATGGTGCGATTTGGGCTCCCTGCAACCTCCGCCTCCCGAGTTCAAGCGATTCTCCTGCCTCAGCGTACTAAGTGGCTGGGATTACAGGCGCCCACCACCACGCCCAGCTAATTTTTTGTATTTTTAGTAGAGACAGGGTTTCATCATGTTGGCCAGGCTGGTCTTGAACTCCTGACCTCAGGTGATCCGCCTGCCTCGACCTCCCAAAGTGCTGGGATTATACGCGTGAGCCACCGCACCCAGCCCTCTATTATAGTTTTTAAATTGTTTTTCTTTTGACCCATTAGGGAAGGAGATATGGTTCTAAATATAACATTTTAGAACAGACCCATTTCACTAAAGGAAATTCATGTGATTAACAAGATAGGACAAACTATGGCGTAAGTAGTCTTTTTTATTTTTTATCCTTTTTCTATTATATTTTATCTAACAACCCTGATCCATGACAAGGTGAAGAAGAAAAAAAAAGCTTTCTTCTGTGACTTACAGCAACATAGCAAGTCTATGTTACGATATTAGTTGAAATATTTTATTCGCTAACCTTTCAAAATTAAGAACTTACGAATAAGTAAGATGACTCTCATAATAGGAACACAAAAGACTACTTCTGAACATAAAAATGTAATCAGAAACAGTTTCCACAGAATAAGATGTAAAGGTATCTGAGAAAAGCATTTGGAAGTAAAGTGTGGAAACGGTAAAAAAAAAAAAAAAAAAAAACACATAAGTAACGCATAAATTTCCAGTAGTATGAAAACAAAACTGTAGTAGGAGTAAATTGACAGCTTAATGTGACTCCAAAATAAGACTTTAAAATTTTCTCTAAAATTCAGCACTAGAAGCAGTTTGTTAAAGAGAAAAGGTCACCAGTGAATTAACACTCAGATGATGTATCCTTGGGCAAATCCAGTTAATTCTCTTGGGCTTCAGTGTCCTTATCCCTAACATGAATCTGGGAGGGTAATCAATACCTGTATGCCCCCTTCGAAAGGTGTTCTTCCCATAATTCTGTATAACAAATTAGAATCTATTCTCAGACATACAATCATAGCTCCATGGTTGTTTTGTTTCAATTTTCATTTGCATCACTTTTTAACATTTTATAAACACATCTCTTTCGATTTCAGAGCATCTAGTCTATAACAAGCCATTTCGGCTAGCAGAGTATTAATCAGCTCAAGTCTGGATGCCAATTTGATTTTTTTTTTTTTTTTTAATGTGAGGCATCCCATCTTTTCCAAACCCTAAGAACCAAGGACTAATCAAACACCAATTTACCACACATAATGCCCTACAAAAATGCTGACAAAATTATAATCAGTTCATTCTCTGACAACGCTTCACGCATATTAGCAAGGAATGACATCTAACAAGTCACAACTTGGTGATGAGAACTTGCTGGACCAGAGAACAGCTCCAGGGAAAGCGGCAGGGAGAGGTGGTTAAAGGGAAACAACGAGAATATTGGCACCCGGATCCGGCTAGACAAGCGGGATGGCAGGAGACGGGCAGGTACGTCCCAGGCCAGGTAGGAACTGGACGCCGGGTCGAGATAGCCTGTGTTTACACCCCCTCCAACCTCAGCGGCCCCAACCTTAAGGAAACCCCGGGGGTCTCCACCGGGCTGGTCGCGCCCCTCCAGTGCTAGTCAGCTGGGGCTCCGGGGCAAAGCGAAAAGAAGCTGTTGCTGCCCACAGGCTCGCAGCCCAGGACTTCGGCAGGCAGGTACCACCCGCAGCCCCCACCCGCCCCTCACGCCTACCCCTGGGTCGGAGCTCCGCAGGCCTCACGGCGGCCGCCACCGCCTCAACCAAATTGAGGGGCTGCAGCTCCGGAAAAGCAGGCCGGGCACCAGTGCCCCAGCCCGCCCTCCTGCCGCCTAGGCCCAACCTCCCCGCAGTGGCGGCCAGCTTCCGGGCGCGGCACTGCTCGGCACCTACTTGCCCGACAGGAAAGGTGCGGACGTGGTACCTGCGCCTTGGTGCCCGGCCTGTTCCGCCTCAGCACTGCCGTCCCCTCCGCCATGACCATAGTGCCAGCGTCTAGGCGGCTGGAGTCGGTACCCGGATGTAGGGACTGCAGCCTGCGCGGGAGGCGGGGCAGAGCAGCGCTCTGCGTCTGGGAGGAGGAGCCGCCGCTGACGGAACAGCCGCAGCCTGCGCAGAGCAGGACGGGAGAACTGGGAGCCGGGGGGTAGAAGAAGCAGGGTAGGCGGAGGGAGAGTGCAAACGGGGAACAGCCGGACGGCGTTGGGCGGCGACTGGCAGGTACTGAGGCACCGGAAGGCGGGAGCCACGAGCCTCTTTGCGAGGTCTGCGGAGCGGTTTTGAAAGGTCGTGATCGCGGCAACTGCTGCGGCAGTGTGCACGGCTGCGTTGCAAGTTGGTATGGGCTCTTGTTAGTTACACGGGAAGAACGGACTTCGTACAGTGGCGGCCATTTCAGTAAACCCACGTGCAAGCAAATACGTAGAGAACCCTAATTCTGTCCCAGAAGCCACCTAAGGGATCAGGGTAGAAAACAGGCCAGCAGTCTGGGGAAATTCCAAAGAACCTGCGTGAAATCGACCCAATCTGAAATCAGACTAGGGATTTGAGTGTCAGTGTTATTTCCGCCATCCGGCGACTTAAAAGCCAAGGACTTTTTCAATGACAAGTTTGTTTACGTCGATGAAAGACGCAGATGTCAATTATGTGACCTGAAGAGTGGGCATGGTTTTGTGAGTTAGGTAGACAGATTTAGCTCGTGTTTTTCAAGTCAGAAGCAGGAGGAGGAAATTAGTAGTCCTTGGTATACTTTACGTCTTACAGGATTCCACATTTACTTTCTTGCACATTTCAAGTGTTCTCTCTTAAGAAACCACAGCATTTTCGCAAACTCATTTTCCTGCTTAGAATCCTTGAATCTTTTATCTGGGGTGAGGGAGGCCTTGGGATATCAGATGGAAAGACAGTTCAAAAAGTAAAAAACGCATACAGTAGCATGATTTCCAAAAGAAGAAAACATCAAATGTCCTTAGATAGAAGGTGTATTGAGAATGCTCAGGGAAGAAACGGAATTTGAGAGTAGAGGAGAGGTTAAGTTGAGTGGGTCTCTAGCTAAGTAATTGTCAGTGACTTAGAACTAGGCTTTGAAGGGTTTAACAACAGGAAGTTGGTTCTCTGGAAGATGTATTGACTGGTAACTTTTCAAGAATAGGGACTTAATTTTGCCCTCCCAGCACCAGCGTCTACATATGAAAAGATTTATTCGTTCAACAGATGCTCATTAAGCCCCACTATATAGTAGGCGCTAAGGTGCAACTATGATAAGGTTCCGTCCTTCACTACAAATTGCTTTGACTCCAGCAACAGAGACGTGCAAATCACAAATTCGTGCAAATCACAAATTCGTATAAGGGTTAAGTATCCCTTATCTTAAATGCTTGGGACCAAAACACTTTCAGATTTCTGATTATTTTGGATTTTAGAATATTTGCATATACATAATGAGATTTCTTGGGGATGGAACCTAAGTTTAAACGTGAAATGCATTTGTTTCCTATACACTTTAAACACATAGCCTGAAGTTACTTTTTTTTTTTTTTTTTTTGAGACGGAGTCTCGCGCTGTGTCACCCAGGCTGGAGTGCAGTGGCGCGATCTCGGCTCACTGCAAGCTCCGCCTCCCAGGTTCACGCCATTCTCCTGCCTCAGCCTCCGAGTAGCTGGGACTACAGGCGCCCGCCACCACGCCCGGCTAGTTTTTTGTATTTTTAGTAGAGACGGGGTTTCACCATGTTAGCCAGGATGGTCTCGATCTCCTGACCTCGTGATCCACCCGCCTCGGCCTCCCAAAGTGCTGGGATTACAGGCTTGAGCCACCACGCCCGGCCTGAAGTTACTTTTATACAATACTTTAAATAGGCCAGGAACGGTGGCTCACACCTGTAATCCCAGCACTTTGGGAGGCCAAAGGGGGCAGATCACTCGAGGTCAGGAGTTTGAGACCAGCCTGGTCAACATGGTAAAATCCCATCACTACTAAAAATACAAAAATTAGCCAGGCGTGGTGGCGGGCGCCTGTAAAACTTCAAATAATTTTGTGCGTGAAACAAAGTTTTGACTGCGACCTGTTACAGAAGGTCAGGTATGGAATTTTCCACCTGTGGCATCATGTAGATGTTCAAAGTTTCAGATCTGAGAACATTTCAGATTCTGGACTTTTCAGATTATGGATGCTCAACTTGGCCGGGCGTGGTGGCTCAAGCCTGTAATCCCAGCACTTTGGGAGGCCGAGGCGGGTGGATCACGAGGTCAGGAGATCGAGACCATCCTGGCTAACATGGTGAAACCCCGTCTCTACTAAAAATACAAAAAACTAGCCGGGCATGGTGGCGGGCGCCTGTAGTCCCAGCTACTCGGAGGCTGAGGCAGGAGAATGGCGTGAACCTGGGAGGCGGAGCTTGCAGTGAGCCGAGATCGCGCCACTGCACTCCAGCCTGGGCGACAGAGCGAGACTCCGTCTCAAAAAAAAAAAAAAAAAAAAATGGATGCTCAACTTGTATTAGATACAGTGAGAGCCTAGGACAAGTGACACCTAAATGTTACCTCCCTTAGAGAGATGGGTTGGGTCTGTGAGATAGCAGAGTCTCAGGGAGGCCTCTTGGTCTATCTATGGATGACTCACCTCACTTACTGCAAGGATTAAGTTTACATTTCCCAGATTGTGTGGTATTTCCCTGAGCTGTAAATAGTCACCTATACTTGAATGGGATCATCTTCACCTTCTCTTAATTCCAGATTTATTAAAATGTTTCAACCCATCTGAAACAAACAAAAAAACGTGAATGAGTAGATGTTAAATTTCTGGAACAAAATGCACATTCATTGTTTTTGAAAAGTCCAATAAAGTTGCATTCTGATGTCAACCCTGGCCTTGTTCACAGGAAGGACCTTGTTCTTTAGGGATGGAATGTTTCTAGCTGATAACCTTCACATTTTCATTCTTCTTTCAGCCTGTAGATTATGTACCTCCAAACAAGACCAATTTTATAACTAGGGTTAATTTGTCCGGGGTAGGAAGAGAGAGAATAGAAAAACAAAAAGCATGATTAGCAATAACAGTTACATGAAATACTTGAATATTTCAGGTAAAGGAGGAGCCATCTGTTTAAAGCCTATATGCACCAATAGGAATAGCTCTGGACTGAGATTCAGAAAATCTAGATTTGTGGGGAAAAGAAAGAGAGATCAGACTGTTACTGTGTCTATATAGAAAGAAGTAGATATAAGAGACTCCATTATGTTCTGTATTTGAGATGCTGTTAATCTGTGACCCTACCCCCAACCTTGTCCTTGCAAGAGACATGTGCTGGTGACTCAAGGTTTAATGGATTTTGGGCTGTGCAGGGTGTGCTTTGTTAAACAAGTGCCTGCAGGCAGCTTGCTGGTTAAAAGTCATCACCATTCTCTTAATCTCAAGTACCCAGGGACACGCATACTGCCAAAGGTCGCAGGGACCTCTGCCTAGGAAAGCTAGGTATTGTCCAAGGTTTCTCCCCATGTGATAGTCTGAAATATGGCCTCGTGGGAAGAGAAAGACCTAATCGTCCACCAGCCTGACACCCTTGAAGGGTCTGTGCTGAGGAGGACTAGTGCAAGAGGAAAGAAGGCCTTTTGGTGGTTGTTGGCAGTTGAAATAGAGAAAACATCTGTCTCCTGCCCGTCCCTGGGCAATGGAACATCTCAGTGTAAAACCTGATTGTATGTTCTGTTTACTGAGAAAGGAGAAAACTGCCTTAGGGTGAAGGGTGGGCCTTGCTAGGGCAATGCTGCTCTTTATGTACTAAAAAGGTTTATGGAGATGTTTGCATATGCATGTCAAGGCACAGCATTTTTCCTTAAACTTATTCACGTTACAGAGATCTATATTCATATGTCTTACTTCTGACTTTCTCCCTGCAATGACCCTATTGTCTTGCCACTTCCTTTTCTTTAAGATGGTAAAGATGATTATCAATAAATACTAAGGGAACTCAGAGACCGGTGCCGGCGTGGGTCCTCTGTATGCTGAGCGCCGGTCCCCTGGGCCCACCTTTTCTTTCTCTATTAACTTTGTCTCTGTGTCTCATTTCTTTTCTCAAGTCTCTCGTTCCACGTAACGAGAAACGCCCTCCACAGGTGTGGAGGGGCAGGCCACCCCTTCATAGATTCTCTTGCCTGTTAACTGTAAGACATTGAACAAGCTATCAAATAAATGTTTCTTCATGTGTAATGAAGATTGTGCATAGCAGTTCTTTCCCTCTGCCCCATAAAGTATGAAAGCAAGCATAAAATTAAATATGGAACTCTTGAAGTTTTAGAAGAAAATATTTTATAAAGCGAAAGTATCATAAGCAATTTCTTTTTTTTTTTATTTTTATTTTTTGAGATGGAGTCTCGCTGCTGGCGCCGCCAGACTGGAGTGCAGTGGCCAGATCGCAGCTCACTGCAAGCTGCCCGCCTCCCGGGTTTACGGCCATTCTCCTGCCTCAGCTCCCAGCTAGCCTGGGATTACAGGGTGCCCGCCACCTCACGCCGCTAGTTTTTTGTATTTTTTTAGTAGAGACGGGTTTCCACCGTGTTCGCCAGGATGGTCCTTCGATCTCCTGACCTTGTGAGTCCACCCGTCTTGGGCCCTCCGCAAAGTGCTGGGATTACAGGCTTGAGCCATCTGCGACCGGCCAGCAAGTTCATCTATCCATCCGAGCTTCAAAGCATTGACACATTAAAAAAAAAGTAACGCAAATTATGATTGAAATTCATCTTTGGGGAATTTTTAAATCCAAGGTAAAAGAGTTAATGGCAGGCCGGACGCGGGTAGCCAAGCCCCCTTTAATCCCAGCACTTTGGTGACGCCAGACGGTGCGGATCACAAGGTCAGGAGATCTGAGACCATTTCTGGCATAACATGGGTGAAACCCCGCCTCTGTACTAAGACAATACAAAAAACTACGTCCGGGTGCGGTGCGCGGCCCTGTGCTAAGTCCGCAGCTACTCGGGAGGCGTGAGGCAGGGGAAATGGCGTAAACCGGGAGGCTGGAGCTTGCAGTGAGTTGAGATCCGGCCGGACTCCAGCCTGGGCGACAGAGCGAGACTCCATCTCAAAAAAAAAAAAAAAAGAGTTAATGCAGGCCACGTGCAGTGGCTCAAGCCTGTAATCCCAGCACTTTGGGAGGCCGAGGTGGGCAGATCACATGGTCAGGGGTTCAAGTTCAGCCTGGCCAACATAGTGAAATCCCCGTCTCTACTAAAAAAAATACAAAAATTAGCTGGGCACAGTGGTGCGCACCTGTAGTCCCAGCTACTGGGGAGGCTGAGGCAGGAGAATCGCTTGAACCTGGGAAGCAGAGATTGCAGTGAGCTGAGATTGAGCCACTGCACTCCAGTCTGGGTAACAGAGTGAGACTCCATCTCAAAAAAAAAAAAAAGAGTTGATGCATATTATATGCAAGGCACTGGGCTAAGTGCTGAAAAACACGAAGAGATATAAGACAAGCTTTCCTCAAAGAGCCTTGAAATTAATGGGAAAGCATCTTTTGTAGATTACTACAGTATAAGGCTGAACGCCTTAAGTATTGAAGCAGCCCCTTTCACATGCCCTTTGCAAACAGACTCTGATCTTGCTCAGTGTTCATCTCTCACCCTATGACCAGGGAAAGGTAAACTCATGTCTAGCTGAGGGATAAATTCCTGTTGGTCTAAGTGTGAAAGGGCCAGACTCTGGTTCACACCTATAATTCCAGCACTTTGGGAGGCTGAGATGAGAAGATTGCTTGAGCCCAGGAGTTCAAGATCGGCCTGGGCAACATAGTATGACCCCCCCCCCCACACACACACACACACCCATCTCTACAAAAAAATACAAAAATTAGCTGGGCATGGTGGCACACACCTGTAGTCCCAGCTACTCAGGAGGCTGAGATGGGAGGATTGCTTCACCCTGGGAGTTCAAGGCTGCAGTGAGCCATGACTGCACCACTGCACTCTAGCCTGTGTGGCAGAGTGAGATCCTGTCTCAAAAAAATTATAAAGTAAAATAAAGCAAAGCAAAGAAATGTGAAACGTTGTGATGAAGCACTTTGGAGAAAGATTTACTTGCTCTTCAGAAGATACCAAAAGAGATGCTCTCTTTTTTCTGCCAATGGATATTGCCCAATATGGGCCTGCAGCAGCCATTTTGGCTTAAAGGAAGCCAGTCTAAAAGCAAAATTGGCACACTGTGAATGATGTATGTAGTTGGAATGTGTCTTAAAGTATGGATAGCATTTATGTGCAGAGCTACAGGAGATTTCATTACAAGCCAAGCAAAGTTGAAGCAGCAGGGAAGCATGGGAACGTATATTCACAGTTGAACAAGTCAGTGCCTATGTTTCATACATCTTCAACATATTATTTGAACATTATTCTCTCTCTGTTTTTGTTTTGTTTTGTTTTGTTTTCTTGAGACGGAGTCTCACTCTATCACCAGGCTGAAGTGCAGTGGCATGATCTCGGCTCACTGCAACCTCCGCCTCCCGG